TTTAAGAAAATGCAATGAGCCTTTAATCTAGAAAATGGTATGTGTCTTTATTAATCTGGGAAAATAGAATGGGTCTTCAATCTGAGAAAATGCAATGAGCCTTAAATCCAGAAAAAATTTAATGTGCCTTTATTAATCTAGGAAAATAGAATGGATCTTTAATCTGAGAAAACGCAATGAGCCTTTAATCCAGAAAATAGAATGTGCCTTTATTAATCTGGGAAAATAGAATGGGTCTTTAATCTAAGAAAATGCAATGAGCCTTTAATCGGGAAAATGCAATGTGCATTTATTAATCTGGTAAAATAGAATGGGTCTTTAATCTAAGAAAATGCAATGAGCCTTTAATCCAGAAAATGAAATGTGCCTTTATTAATCTGGAAAAATAGAATGGGTCTTTAAACTGAAAAAATGTAATGAGTCTTAAATCTTGGGAAATGGAATGGGTTTTGTCATTGAAAATGTTGAGTGATTCATGTTAACTTTATTTGACACATCCAGTAATGTACAACAGGTGGTTGATTACAGAGATAATTCATACGTAGAGGTAGCTTCATAGTTTAAAGCTTATTTAGACAGTAGTTTGGTGTTTAAATTAAAAGAGTTGTGAGTGAGTTAGAAGTGTTTACATATCCAGTAAGTAAACATGATATATGATGAGAAGAGTACAAATACATTTGTTCATATTTAAGAGGTTGTGCAATGTGTCAACTGTTGTTTCATTCGTCCCTTTATTTATGCATTTAATTTATTGCATAAATCATGCTAATAATATAAGGCAGAGGAAAAATATATTCTTGTTTCTGCTCATACAGCTTTTTAGCTTCGCTGTCGACTTTGTCGAGCGGAGCTTATCACATGAGTGATTGTCCGTCGTCGTCCATGTCAACTTTTTAATCTTTCGACTTCTTCTAGTAAACTACAATTCTTATTACTTATTATCGTGATGATATTATCAATTCTCTAATTTTGATGAATATTTTTGTCGTTTTTGGTAAAAAGTGATATTTTTGAATTCTCGTTAAAAACCGCAAGTCGGATTGCTTTGATGGTATACATGTGGGTACCTCAGATGGACCTCTCTCAGATTTGTTCATTTTCTAATAATATCTTCAGTTCTTTAATTGAAATGTACCAGCGGATCTATCTCAGCCGAGACGCTGCTTGTTTAAAAGATTTATCATTATTTTTTAAATATTTAAAATATCAAATTTTCAATTTATGACAATTTTCAAATAACAAATTTTTTTAAATACATGGTTGCATCAATTATGAAAAATAAATTGACCTTAAACTTTTACCGGTAATTTTAATTTTGAATATTTTCTGTCTGAATTAAATACATTCGTTTTCCAGTTCTGGACAATGTTTGGTGTTTGGATCAACCTGTTACCAATAATTATAAATATTTTATCATTCTAGACTATACAAAGTATAGGAAACCTTGGAGCTCAGCTTGGAAAGGAGCAGTATATGGAACCTTTGTTTCCTGTTATCATGGATAGCGCTATCCGAATAAAAGACTTTCTTGACAGACTGATTGACATTGACGAAGAAGAAGGTATGTTAGTTAATATCGATCGATAAACGCTCTTAGTTTAAGTGGTGACATATCTCAATGGCAAGTGTCGCTACATCTGTTCTAAGCTGATTGGTTGAATCAAATCATGTGACTATAAAACACCTGGCACCACTATTGGTTTATTTCCCTACTTATTCCATGGCCACTGTTTATAAAATAATGAAGTCACCAATTTGTTGCAAGGACAAACAGTTAATTAACATAATATTGTTGAACTAGTTCTGCTGTGATTTTATCACATTTCCATGGCAACTCAGCAGTTAAGGGTTTTAACAGAACAGAGCAATTAATGAGTACGCTAATGTTTATATTAGATTAGAAATATATATGACGAAGAGAGAGAAACGGTCAATAATTTTTTTTTGTTTTATTTAAAAAATGTCTAAAAATTCACAAGAATCAAAGTTTTGCATGAAATTAATTTTCAAAGGGAAAAGTAAATTTTAAATTAATGTCCAATTGGATTTGGAGTAAATTTATGTACCATTGGTAAACTGATCCAATTCCCATTGGATTGAACACTGTTCATCTATTTGACCTTGATTGACACTGGACCATACCATTATTAGAAGATAGAGAACGACAGCATCAGGCAAAACATTATTGCAGTTACACAAAATTACTGAACTTTTAGAAAATAGAAATAAACCATATATAAAGGTTAGAAAGGATTACAGAGTCAGGCAAGTTGGACATTCTGAAAGCAATAACAGACTATACCATTATTTGAAGGTAGGGGTTGATTTGAAGTTGAGCCCCTTCATAATTATAGACATTAGATGAAACAAGAAGATTTTCAGTTGGTGAGAGTGATAGATGTTAAAGGGCGGTTGTCATCGCGCAGCGTTTGTTCGAAATTCATGTGAACAAACACTGTATTTTACATGTGTTGTGTACGTCGCTATGAGTCCCATATCGAAAAGGACGCAACACGACAACCACTGCCCTTTAAATCACCATATTTAATCCACTAAAATATTAAAAAATTAACTTTTAGATTTTTTTCCACAGAAGACATACTAACAAAATAAAAACATAGCATGTTAACATTAAATGTAACTTACTTACCATATTTTTTTTCATTTTAATTAGCATAATTTTTCATTTTTATTTAGATATTAGTACTTTTCTCAGTATCAATATGAATATTTTTATTATAGTTTTTAGTTGTATATGAACCTATAAAGATGCCAACTAACCATTTCACGCAGACCATTATCTCCAAGAATTATTCCTATTATTTCCTCCAGATTATTCATTTCTTGTTATTTACCTTGTTTCTCTCATCACTTGTAATCATCTTGCTCTCTGTCACAGCCCAACATGACCTGGATTACCTGAAAGGTGGGCCAATCAAAATACCTCATTTGCTAATTTGCATGCAAGCCTTGGCAACCACTCCATTTTTTTTTCCCCCTTGCATCACTTTTACACATACACTGCAAGGCACTGCATTCGCTCTGTCACGTTTATTGTAACTATTAATATGAAGGAAGTTTACGGTGATAGGATTTGAATAAATAACACAAAGACTTACCACAAACAAAAGTAAAAAAAAAATAAAATAAAATAAAAATATCTACAACAAAATTTAAAAAAGCTGGTCATCTATAAAGTTTTTCTTCCACGAATTATTTCTCAATTGTTTCCAAACTAAACACAATTCGCTTGACTTTTGTGGTGGTCTTTTTGTCGCTTTTTGTTCTCTGCACTTATAATAAACAAAATTGACATATTGTTTTTATAACTATTTTGTTTATTTGCTTGTATCGCTTAAGATTTATAATTCAGATACATTGTATTTGTATTTGCATTTGAGTGTTTTAATAAATTCATTCACCAAGTTATATTTTTGATAAAGTAATTTTCAATATATTTATTATAAAATATCATACTTTTTATATTTGGTGTTTTCTGCTTAAAAATAGGGAATATCAATTTTGGGTGGCTTAAATTGAATTTATGTTTATTGTGGTAATAATATCTCTTTATATTTACGGTATATGTATATGTTTGTGTGTTAAGAGGAAACACACTTCTTGTAAAATATGAGATAATGTTTATGTTGATTATTTTACTCCCCAGTCCCTGCAGGTGAATTACAACAGAGAAGTGTCTTCCATCATTCGATGACCATCAAAGAAGGCTATGTGCGAAAAAGACGCGGAGAAGACATTGCAGTCGTCACACCGTTCACATTTAAGAAACGTTACTTCTGGTTGAGCAATGAAAATCTATCATATGCAAAGGAGCCAGAGATCGAAGTAAGATAACATTTTTATCGCAACAATTCTCACACACAGTCAGATTTCCTACAAAATTTTCCTTTTCTTCCTCTACATCATGATATGTGTCAAATATTTGTTTTAACATCATGAGAAAATGTACATCTTCAAGCACATGCTACTTGATGGCAATAATTATGCAAATTAGCAAATAAATATTCACAGTATTAGGAAGTAATTCATTTGAAATGACCATTAAAATTATCTTGCTTTCCTAGCTGCAACATACAGAATTCAGATCTCTTTCAAACCATCCCACATCCGATGAACTATAACGACCTTGTCAAAAATAAATCCAAAAAGATGTGTATGACATCAATGGTTATAAAGCTTATATTAGTGTTGTCATGGTAACATGCTCTACTGGTTTGCCAATGTAACAAACTCAACAGTTCATTAAATATGTCATTTCTTAGCATATTTGTAAAGATGATGCACATTTCCAAGGCAACAGAATGCATACTTTATATTTTGAATATTGCACTTAGTAATATATATTGACATCAAGAATGCCCCAAGTCTCTTCTTCATCTAGAATGCTGATTAGGAGATGTAAACGTAATTTCTGCATACAAATATTCCTGAGACATGTATGAATATTCAAAATATTGGAAAAACTTAACTGTCCAGAACAAAAGCATTCAAATCTGAAATACAGTATATGGTCCAAGAAATAACTGCAGCATTCTAGAAAATGTGCATGGAGACAGACGGTACATTTCTACAGGGGTCAGTAAAAGGTCAAACTTAAATAGGATTATAGTGATGTATATAAGTGATGTAAACGGCTGAGAGACTCTAATTGTAACGAGTGTCAATGGGATGAATTGAAGAAGGATGTTAAGTTATGAAATAATAGAATTTGTAGACTTAGCTTTCATCAAATAAATTGATAATGAAGAATTCACATTAACGCTTTCATGAGTGGACTTTATTCCTGATAAAATGGGGGTTTCAGTTATGAATGCTTTCATAATTGAGTCTCTTTTAAACATTTGAAACTTTTATTTGCATCAATTTTAAGAAACAATTATTTTTTTGATAAATGTTGGCAAAAAAAAGGGTAATAATTAATAGGTGTAAATATTTGAATAATGATATGGCTATTTGCGTGTGAGATTTAATTATATTTTGATTCTGTAATATTTCAGTAATACCTCAATGGTAACCACTAATATCATTTGGTTTAATTGTTGCAAATTAGTTCTATATAACTCATAATGACATAATTTTGCTAAAAATATAAAATTATAGTCTTGTTATTAAATTTTCTGTCAGTTTTCTGAGATTTGATAATTCATCAAATAAGAACTAGGCTAAATGATTCCTTCAAAATTAGGGATAATTCATAAGAAATAATACATATACTGGTCAGATTAAATAGCTCTTATGTTTCAAGATTAAAGAAAGCATTTGGGGACATTAAACACTGTGAGGTATTGACTGGAAAGCATAGAGAGAACTAGGCATGTAAAGAAAAGAGAGCTATGGGTGTGCAGAGAAAAGAATGCAGTGTTAAGCTTACAATGTTGTAAAGAGTAATGTATTATCAAGGGATTTTCCCTAAAAGGATTTAAGATTACTTGGTGTGCAAAATAGAACCCCATACTTGGAATTAATCGTGTTGTGCCTCTATGGTGTTTTGAATTTAATGTTATTTTTTGAGTTTTAGATGTTTCTTCTTTGTTATTTTTTAAAGGAGAGTATATATGCAGTATCCTGGTTACACTATAGTACGTGTACTATTGTTTCTCTAAGTCGTGCACTGTGCTTTAAATGACAATGGTGTATCTGTGGTTATAAATAGGACTGTAGTAGTTATGATATTCAAATTTTGTGTAAACACACAATGTATAGTGGTGTTCTCACTGGACGGCATAAGCCGTTGTCACAATGCCTTTCATTTGAGAAAGTTGTTAAAATATGTGTGTGAACAGAATACGCCGTTGTGGCATCGGCGTTTTTGACACCGTCGTAAAATGGGGTGGACCAGATCCTAAACGCTCTTGTCACAACAGCCCTTGCACAACGCAATGTGCAGTGTGAACACAATAAGATGGCCAAACGCCCTCTATTGCCAACTTATTTATGCTTGTCATTACACAAGATGGCGTCAGAGGTTACAGGTCGAATGTCGAACTGGTCAGACAAAGAAACGAGATTACTGATATCTGTTTGGAGAGAATCAAATATTCAAAGAATGATGGATGGAATGTCTAGGAATGCTAGAGTATATGGTACTGTGATTGCAGAAAAAGCAGCTGAAAAGGGGTTGGACAGGACTTTATTACAATATCTACGTAAGATCAAAACTTTACGTATAAAGTACAGAAAAGTGACTGAGCACATCAACAGAAGTGGTAGAGATCCGAAAACTATGCCATTTTGGGATGAACTACACGAAATATTAGGTGGAAGGCCAGCATTCAATCCTCCAACATCGGTGTTTTTACTAAGTGTGAACGCGAGCAGACATTTCAGCAGATTATCTAATATTTGCACAACAAAAAACAGTGTTAACATCGGCAATTTTTTAGACATGTGAGAATTTTACACAAGTTGTTTACATTATATGAGACTCATGGTATGACGTACAATCACTGCGTGTGCTCTTTAACAACCCAGAATTTGGAATAAATGCAAAATGTTATTTTGGAGATGCGCTTCTTATAGAGCAAATATGGTAACTGTATAACCGGTAATGTGCTTGTGAATCGGCAATAAGTGGCTATTTTGGTGATTAGATCAGCTAGCAGACTATTTAGACTAAACATGGCTTTGACCATTATAATTGTGGGGGTGTTATACCCTGGTATTAAGAAAATTACAGAAATAAAAAAAAATATCTTTTTTTAAAGAAAAAAAAAATTATAGAGGAGATTAAACAACAAAATATATACCACAACAATCCTGCCACAAGCTCAAAGTTAAGGCGAAGAAAAAAATACGTTGACATATATATAGTTTAATATCTTCCCTCAGAGTTTCTGATATGGTCAACCCCTTCTTACAAATATACCGATATACTGTAAACCAACTTATTGTCATTGCTAGGAATTCTCATGATTTGATGATTTTATCAAAATTTGTATAAGTCGCTTACACTCCATAGAACCCATATAACTGCTACAAAGCTCACGATTTTCCCGAACTGTGAAATTTGGGGAAATTTGTCTCCGGTGAACCTAAAGTGGTTTACAGTTTGAAAGCATCACTGTGTAAATGATGTGTAAAAAATAATGTTTTTTCTCAGCATGAGGGTGACGTAAAGTACTCTTTTTCACTCAATGTCAGCATTACGAGACTGACTACGTTCATTAAAAGATTCAACTGCCATAGGTGGGTAAATTTGAGCTGTGGCTTTCAACCGCAGTGTGCTCAGTGGTGGTATGTTATAGATATGCCCGAAGTGCAATTCTTAACTCTGTATAAAACTCAAATGCTATAAATGTATCTCTTTACATTCTGTACTAAGTGCGCTTATCACCGCACACGACGCGGTATAATACAAACTGTCACATCCTGGTAACTGTGGATATAATACGCTATATGTTCACGATGTCAGCAGCATCAATCTCCCTTAGGAGTTACGATTTCCATCGCATCATTATACTCTCCACCAAAAGCTACAAAAACAATATCTCAGCTTGTATAGTCACACCACAATTGCAAAATAGAAAGTGTTATTGGGTTTCACAATAATAATATCGTGAAAATAATAATATTAATTGTTTGCATGTAATATTGTTAAAGTCGATAAAAATACAATATTTTCCAACTACTGTGGAATACTTTATTTTCGCTGGAATTAATTTTCGCTGAAAAGGCTTTTTGGGCGTTTTGCTTGGAATTTATTTTCACTGATTTTTGATGAGATTAATGTGAAATATAGGAAAAAAAGTATATTCGCTGGATTTTATTTTCACGGAATCATCCCTTCAGCGAAAATAGTGAAAATAAATTCCAAGCGAAAATAAAGTATTCTACAGTATATCTTATTGTTCTCAGTGAAAATTACTTCTAGCTAAAATAAATAAAAAAAGATCCACAGCAGGATGTATCACAAATGTAATTCTCTTAATTTGTTTAAAATGTTTTGAATGCTATTATAATTTTCTTGCCAAGATTTTCGTGCAACATTTTTTGTATTTCTCTGTTATTTTTTGGTTAATTTTGGATCATATGATCAGAATTTTCAATCAGTCACAGGTTTTGATAAAAAATATTTGAAAAAGATGGAAAAAAATTACGCCGATTTATTTTGTATTTTGTGAAAAGTGACAAAATTTGAATTAAGTGTCAATTAAAGGTTAAAAATTTTATATAATATACCAAAATAACCAAGACTTGATGAAATCAACAAACCCGCATCTCTTCACGAGGTAAATCGGGAACCCCCCCCCTCCTGAATAAATCACAGTTTTTGCTTGGATCTCGAAACCCACATACGACTTAGCGAGGGGCCAATGTATATAGTTAGTCAGCAGTTATAATAATTGATTCAATTGAATTTTTTAGATATCAGAGAATATTAGGATTGTACGATCCGTGGTTAATCAGCGGCCAATCATCCGTAGCAGCTGCATGGGTATAGATCAGTATAATTTCTGTCTCACTTAATATTGGTGAACGCTCCAAAAATTGCTAAATTATAGTCCCTAAGGATGTAGCACAGGGAGCCCAGGAACTATAATCAAGTATAGTACAGTGTCTCTATGAGGCGGGGATGATCGGCTGGTATCTAGTGTAAGAAATAGACAAGGGATGAAGGCTGCAGCCAGCTCACATTTTTTAAACTCGAAAAAACAGACGAAAAGAATAAAATATAAAATCTAAAAAAAGAACCAGGTTGAAGAATATTAGTTGCTCCTTCAAATTTCGCCAAAGCCTTACCTAAATTTTACAGATATCTGCAGAATAAATCAAGAAAACTACACACATTGACTCCATTTAGGAATTTCTAACGGTTTGCCCGAACGCACAGCACAGTTGGAGGCGTGGCCTGTTTAGCATTTTGTCAACAACCAATCACAAGACTGGTAACGAACAAGTTGAGCAAGGCTAACCGAGTCGTGACCTCGACTCGGGTTCTTCACTTTTTCAGTGATTGTAGATTTGGTATAAATGAAGAAAAAGTTTTCAGGATTCTTTTATAAATTCATGCATTCTAGAGATTTTACTGCCTGAATGTAAAAACAAACACCTCAGTCTAGAAAACACAAACATGGACAACAGACCAGAAATGGTTTTATTCTACAATTTACGATTAACACATTTTAGTACCCCTTTTAATTTCTTCACAATACTGATTCAAAATCTCAATCATGGATTTATTTACTTATATAGTGATCGCATGATCAATTGAGGGTTGCTCTTGATATAACATTGATTTTTATTCACGGTTATTTAAGCGCTTTCATAAAATACATACTGTAAAATAATTTGTTTTCGCTTGGAATTTATTTTCGCTATTTTCACTGAAGGGAGGATTCAGTGAAAATAAAATCCAGCGAATATACCTTTTTTCATATATTTTACATTCAACTCATCAAAAATCAGTGAAAATAAATTCCATACAAAACACTAAAAAAGCCTTTTCAGCGAAAGTTAATTGGGCCAAAATAAAGTATTTTACAGTAGGTTGAAATAATAGGAATATAATTAATACGTATTTTACTTCCGGAAAAACCTAGCTACTACATCCTGAAGTCAAGGAACTAAAGATGCACATGTCCATTATGGCAGGAAACAGGAAGATCAGCCATTTGATATCTTTTGATATATTCTTCTTTCAACTGTTTTTAATGTATACATATACAACAAGGTACTTACTAAGGTTTCCTGTAGATGTAAACAACATAGTCTTGGCATGCAGATGCTCATGCATTGTCGCATTTCTCAGGGTCAACTATAGAGGGAGAAACCACCATAGGACAGGCATGCAGATGCTCATGCATTGTCAGATTTCTCAGGGTCAACTATAGAGGGAGAAACCACCATAGGACAGGCATGCAGATGCTCATGCATTGTCACATTTCCCAGGGTCAACTATAGAGGGAGAAACCACCATAGGACAGGCATGCAGATGCTCATTTGTTACATTTTTCAGGGTCACCGACATAAGATAAGCGAGCATTTGGCTGGTTCAATCCCCCCCTCCTCAAGTGTAAGCTAGGGCACACAGAGGCTGGTAACTATAGTAAGGGTTCTGGCATTCTGATTGGTTATTCACGTTTTCATTCTTTGTTCTATTTCCCTTGGTTACTTGACATCAGTGCTTACGCTCTCGGTCGTAAAGCAAGGTCTTCCTTTAACTCTAAAAATATAAAACTGTTTCGTTAGAACCACCTTAGACATAACAAGTACCGGTAGACTGAATTAGTGCGGTGTTTATTGCAGTATTACAGACTGATTTGAGGAGAATGGATTATGGTGGTAATTGTCACACAGCACGTGATCGCATTTTCCACGCATTGTGTACACCGCTATGAGACCCATATATATCAAATAGGACTCACACGACATCACCACTACCCTTTAAGATCAAGTCAATTAGGCACATAAATCCAGAACCAGAATCCCAGCCCAGGGGAACAATTAATATGTCGATTACAATGTCCATTTACCTGTGTCCTCCTTGCCGTTTGCAAGGGATGCTGGGAACCAGTGAAAAGCATGAAGATACTCAATGTTGCTTTTCTTAGAACTATTTAGAAGGAATACCATTACAGAGTAGTCTGATTGTCAGTGTTAATGACAACATACAAATTATATTAATACTTATAATTGATTATGCTAAAATAAAATTTGGAGAACTAAATGACATCAGAAAAAGAAGACAACCATTTTTATATACTCTAGACTGTGTAGAAATGCTATAAAACAGCTTGCCTATAGTCGTTTCATATACGGTATCATTTAATGATGGATGGGTTTGATTTATGATACATGTGTAGACTTTTATCATTAGTCTTCATCAGCGTATTGGTTCCTTAACTCCTCATCTTCCATGCTGAATGTATCTTGCATGTTATGATAAATAACATATTCAGATGAGAAAAAAATCCATGTTTTTTTTTTTAAATATAGACAATTAACATCTATCGTAGATGATGTGTGAATGATATTTCACAGAGAAGTTCAAGCTGAGAATTGTCCTTTGAAGTGGTTTGAAAAACTCATGTATGTCCCAATTGCATGCTGGGAGTGACAATTCAGTGAAAGGCTCCACACGAGGCAGATTAGGGAAATGTACCATGATAGGGGTTGAAAGCTGTCAGTATACAGTATTGTTTTTTTAAGAAAGCATGAAACTTTAATAGTAAACCTAGTATTAAAAACAATAAAATTACAAATTTTGTCCCACACCCTCATTTGCACACAATATTTATTATTTTTGTTTTGCTTTGTGTATAAGATATAAGGAATTATGTTAACACCATATTTGTTATCTTCAAAATATTTGTGCCACATTTTGCCCATGTTTATGTACTGTGGAATACTTTATTTTCGCTGGAATTAATTTTCGCTGAAAAGGCTTTTTGGGCATATTGTATGGAATTTATTTTCACTGATTTTTGATGAGTTTAATGTAAAATATAGGAAAAAAAGTATATTCGCTGGATTTTATTTTCACGGAATCATCCCTTCAGCGAAAAGAGCGAAAATAAATTCCAAGCAAAAATAAAGTATTCTACAGTATATTAATATAATTTTGATAATTTTTGGGCCATGCAGATATATAGGTATTGATCAAAACTTTGGCAAATATGAAAAAAAAAATGTGGCGTTTCATTTTGTGAAAAGTGCCGAAAGTAGACTTTGTTCAAAAGGTTAATTAGATATATGTGTTGCTGGGAAAAAAAGAAAATTGAAATGGTGTCATCATAATCACTCGATCAGTCTATAAACAATTTTGTTCTCCCGTAAAGGAACCGAAAAGTGGAACACATTTGTGTAATTTACAGACGTTTTTTTTTTTTCAAAACAAATGGCGAGTCAAGACGTCATGGTTCTTATCGATTTTACTTCAAAGAAAATGGGTTTTGTCCGTGAAGAGAATTCATTAGTGATCGTCAATTGAATTCCATGTCTAGTAATCTTTATGACATATCAATATAAAACAATATGCTTGTTTGTTTTTTTTCTCGTCTTTTTCTCCACAGGTCAGGTCAACGATACAGATTCCCCGTACCTGTGCAGTGGAAAGAGTCGACACTAATGCATTTCAACGGCCATATATGATGCAAGTCATCTACAAAGACTCAGAGGGAAACCCCAAAACACTTTACATGCAGGCCAAGGTCAGCTAAGTTTATATGCGTAATTTTTGTTTAGAGGTAGACCATTGAAGACGTTATTTAAAAAAAAAAAAATATAACAGATAAAAATTATGTTTCAATAATTGAGAGCAAAAAATATTGTGCATCGAAAAAGTTTAGAATTGGAACATTCTTAAAGGGCGGTGGTCGTTGCGCAGCACGTGTTCGAATCTCATGTAAACAGATAATGTATTTCACACGCATTGTAAAGGTCGCTATATGAGTTCCATTTTGAATACAACGTGGTACGATGACCACAGCCCTATAAGAAAAACATTTTGCTCAAGTCACTGTGACTCTTTACTTTAATGGTTATGTAATAATTGCATATTTATATTTATTTAATTGCAAATAATTGCAAAACAATGCAAGATGAATGCAATACAAAAAAATAAAATCAGGGAAATAAAGTAAATGTAAAAAAGTAAGTAAAAAAAAATACGTAGGGGTTGCTTCAATGGGATAATTTAAATAAAATTGTAATTTTTTTATTACAGATTTCTATGACAATTAATGCACAAAATATATTATCATCTGAATCAACCAAATTGAGCCAATTTAAAGTTGTATCAATTAAACTACTTTCATTACATGAATACATTTTCACTCACTCTATTTTACAGCTTTTGATTAAAAACTAGGTCACAGAATGAATTGATATAATAACGACATTCAGTGAAAGAAATATCTTTTCAATCCTGATGAAAAGTTTCAGTTCATCATCATTTTTCGAGTGTCAAAACAGAATTTCCCTCGTTCAGAATAAATTCAGAAGAAAGTACAGAATTAGTATGACTTACAAAGAATTGCATATTCATGAGCAAGTCTATTAATTTGCATATTCATGAGCAAGTCTTTGTATTTGCATATTCATGAGGAAGTGCATTATATTTGCATATTCATGAGGGGCCATTTCAGTTACGTATTCATGAGCAAATAAATTTAAACTCTAGTTTCTTTTGAAATCTGGGTATAATGACGATTTTAATTGCAATTTGCATATTCATGAGCAAGTCTTTGTATTTGCATATTCATGAGGAAGTGCATTATATTTGCATATTCATGAGGGGTCCATTTCAGTTACGTATTCATGAGCAAATAAATTTAAACTCTAGTTTCTTTTGAAATCTGGGTATAATGACGATTTTAATTGCAATTTGCATATTCATGAGCAAGTCTTTGTATTTGCATATTCATGAGGAAGTGCATTATATTTGCATATTCATGAGGGGTCCATTTCAGTTACGTATTCATGAGCAAATAAATTTAAACTCTAGTTTCTTTTGAAATCTGGGTATAATGACGATTTTAATTGCAATTTTTTTGCCATTTTTCCCTGAAATAAGAAAACTGAAACTGGTTTATTTTAATAAAAAAGTTAAAAAATCTGAAATTAGGGTTTCTTAGTCTTTCAATCAAAATTCCACTCTAAACCACTCTAAACAATGAATACCAAATTTTTTGTCAAGGAAGTACTTCACGGCAGGCCAATATATGATGTGGGTCCCATGCTATACATATGTGAAATAAACATTTGTTACATTTTTTTGTAGGATGTAAATGACATGCACCAATGGTTGTCTGCGATTAGAAAGACGTGCGTTTCTAATGTAAATATGATGGATACATTTCATCCTGGAGCGTACAGGGGAAGTCGCTGGACATGTTGTTTGCAGACGGCTAAATCAGGTAAGATAATCGATACTCCAGTAACTGCATGTTTCTAGTGTATAAAGTGCTTTGATAGCATCAAAAGAATGAGAAGGCGCTGTAATATGAACGTGCACATAAAAAGTATGTTTCCTGTAAACTGTTTTCCCAATATAAATGACACTTTTTTTTTTATTATTTTCATTTTTTTGTGTGGGGAAGTGAATGATGACTGAAAATAGTTTGACAACTTTTTTTGCTTGTTGATTTCAGTCGCAAATAAAAAGTTCAGTCACCACAAAATATTACTTTTCATTTTTTTGTTTTCTGTGCTATTTGTTTTCATAATATGAAAATGAGGCAGAAGTAAATGAATGCAAATTCCAGAATAATACAGGAATGGCTTTAATATTAACCTGTCAACTTGTTACCTTTCACATATAAAGACGATTTTTTTTTAATTAAGATCAGCAAGTCAGAAATTATGTCCATTTGATTGAAAACAAAGTTGTAGAAAAACACACAAAAATGTGCAAAATGTAACACAAACATTTTGGAGGGAAAAATTATTGCGCTCAATGCATTAATACTTTTTTTTCAATATTTGTTAAAGTATTTTGGAAAAATGCTGAATAATATCCGAGAAGGTCATGTTTCACACGAATTGTCATACTATCGTGTTGTTCTGTGCCTGCAGGTGTACTCAGCGGTTCGATTCAATAATCTGTACTTTCAATTCATCTGTAAAGTACAGTGAGATGTCATGCGAAGGTTGTTGACTGTAGCAAAATATCAAGAACTAGAACCAAACTTATGTCTCTCTTTTCAAGAAATAATTGAGAAAAGCATTAAAAAAATACGTTGATTCATACCATATTTATCCTGACTGAGGTTCACACAACAGATATTTACATCTGGTCACCGCATGTCGGTTGTGCATGTCACAGCTATTTAAAAAAAAAAAAACATTCATGAAAAATCTAAATAGGAGCATAATTATTGTGTTATAATATTTCTACCATGGTTACCCTCTCTTATATATTGAATGATTAATTTCTCATGTTTTAATGATTAATTTCTCATGTTTTAATGATTAATTTCTCACGTTTTAACTCAAATTATTTTCTGCAAAATAAATTGTCAAAAATTGTCTCTGTCTCTTTTTTATAAAAAAAAATTGCTAAAACACTGAAACATTTATAGATCATAATTATTTATAATTGCAAATGACAGTTGAAAATAATTTGACCAATCAAAATGCCTTATAATATAATACAAGTGAATAACAAATATAGCACTTGCAACTTAAAATGCTCGGGGTGGCACTACGTCATGGAATGTTCTATGACGAGCACCACTGTACCATATATTTATGGATTCTATGCGAGCTGCTGTGGAACGTACACCGGTCAAAGAGCCAGTGAAAACAGCTAAAGTCTAAAACAGCACAAACTTATATATTTATATGTGTTGCACATGTAGGGGGAAGTCTTGGTACACTGCTCAAGGGAGTCTCAACAGCTTACCCAAAGTACAGTTTTCTGAGAGGTGACTGACTTTGTTTTAACTGCAGTGATGACTGCCAGGCAGTGATAATGCCTGGATTTCCAAGCATGCACCCCCGAGATTAACTAACAAGCTTTTAGAATATTCGTAAGTTGTTCTGTACTGTCTGAGCCATATTCATATAGTAACGCTTCTCTAGTGAGACTGGATTATTAACAATTATTCTGAATTAAACTATATTCAATATAACGACAAAACTATTTGTTGCTAGGCAATCCCTCACCACCACTGCATTGATTTTGTTTGTGTAATTCAGCCGATTGTCAAGAGCAGAGTACTATGTATTATCTACAGAATTTAGTAGGATCAGTTTAAATAACAATTTCATGATATATTGAGTTTTTATGACAGTCATAAATTTGGCAATTTGTCAGGCATGCTGAAAGATTAGATGATCCTGGCAAACTGACCTCTGACCTCTTTCAAGTCGTATGATTTTCACAGATGTAATAATTCACCAATTTTTTTTTTTTATCTGGCAGATTTTATTGTCAATTGTTATCGTCCATTCAACCTAAATTTGTTGAGAAAAGAAAAACAACCTGTTAAATTTTGGCTGCAAGGGATTATATTGATTTAATGATTTTGTATGACAGTATGTGGGCAACATTCTGTGAAATTCACACTGCATTAACACTCAAAATTTCACGTTTTTCACAGATTTCAAAATTTGTCTCTAGTGAAATTAGAATGGTTTTCAGTCGTCTGACTATAAATTTGAAACGGTAGCTGTTCTATTTGTGAGCAGGCTTCCCTCCAAGTATTAATTCAACATTGGAACATAGTTGTAATGATCCACTGTCAGATGACCTTTCACCCACTGCCACATGACCTTTCACCCACTGCCACATGACCTTTCACCCACTACCACATTTTTCACTTTTGATCAACTTTTTCTTCTATACTATATATGTATATAGTCGTAAAATGAAAATAGAATTTTATGTTTTGATAATATATTAAAATTGTTTTTGAGAGTATGATATATCAATCAATATTTGCATATAACCCTTGCATAGCCTTACATCGTTGTTTATGGATTATTGGACTTGCTGTCTGTAGCATATACAGTATTTTCCTATAAAATACAATATTATTAAGTGCCATTGAGGCTAGCAGGGTTAAACCTTAACTATATTATTTATCCTTAATTTAAAATCATTTTATAATCTTTTTTTTTTTATTTATATTTTTTTTATTTTCCACACAATATTTTATAAGCTTCTCTAAATTCATTACTTCATAAAAATGTTGATTTTCAAATCTGTCTTGTGTATAATTATACTGACATTATACAGAAGCATCATGGGTAATTTTACCCATGTGGTACAGTACTTGTTGGTTATTAGCTGCTTACGAGAAACATTCTCGTCTGTAGATGATGTAATAGCAATAAGACAAGATGCTGTCAACTGAATTGACATGATTTAGTGATTCATTTATAAAAGCAATCAAGCATCGACAGAGTACATCACTATACCACTATCTAACACTTAAAAAATGCATTAAACTATTCACTGCGTATATTTTTCAATAATTGCAATAATCAGTGAAATCTGCTATAAAAACAAGTGAACATCAAAAATTCACTGCTTTTGAAAGTATTTATTTTTAATATTAAAGCCTTGATTTTTTCTGATTAATGCAACCTTTTATTTCCTTTACTTATAAATACATGTAAAACTAAAAATTATTATTTCAGAGTAAACTTAATTACAAAACTATATTACTTTTACTAGTACTATTTTGAGTATAATTTATAACAGTTAATAAAAATGTTAATAAATATTGATTTTTTAATACTTGTAGATACTTTTAAGGTAGATAGTTAAGTCATGGGTGATTAACTGAGATACACTCTCTATCGTAATTATAACATAATAAATGTGAATGTTATTATATTATTGTATCTGCATCATAGATATAGAATGATTTGCAGGAACAACTTTTTGTGTGGATTAATATCGGTGACCTGAGGACAAAACTACGTTAGCATGACAGTTGACGTCATTGAGAACAAATCTCATGTCAATCCGTGTACCTTATCTGAGCTATGCCGGTTGAGTGCATCTCAACTTTGTCTAGAATCAAGCTTGTATTTATAGGATACGTCTTATCTTTTGACATGCATTATTTCAATACTTACACTGTCAGTATGACATTTAATCAGTCTCACAGACACCAAAAGTACATTATAATTTAAAAAACTATACTTTAGACTTTTCAATGATTCTATTTCTATTGGCATTTGTATAAACCACTTAACAATTCCTTTTATAACATAACCTATGGCACCTTAGTTTTTGAAGTCTTGGTGTACATTAACTTCTGACAACATATTTGATAAAAATCAAGTTATTTATTTATATCTAAAATTATCATTTTGTATTCTTATATAGTTCTTAGCAAAATTTATAGTGTAATTATATATTTGATAAAAATTAATATTTTCATTCAAACTTCAAATTTGTGAGTATTAAACAAATCAAACCGAAGGCAAAGGTTGAAATGAAAAACATATATCTGGAACAACCACTTAACTGTTTTAATGCTGTAACATCAATTGCCACTTTTCACAAGAAAACAATTTAAACTACAAATTCCTACCCATGATAGAATGAATAGAAATGTATGTGTTTGATGGGTGAGCCACTGCTTGTGATCCCATATGTCAACATAAATAGTCATGCTATTTGTTAACCAGAATGTATTAATGCTAAAAATAGCCACAACACCTGCTTTCACACTGAGAATATCTAGACGGATTAAGAGTTGAATTTTTTAACCAACATTGAAAACCCGAAGTTCATGATCAAGAATGGGGTTGATATATGTATATGAGCTCCGTAGTTTATTACTCAGTAAGGCAGTCCTAGATACTTACTGACATTTCCAGATTGTTCTTGATCGACAGTCCATTTGATGTACAGGATTGTGCAAGATGATGCAGTTTTTTGGAGCAGCGCCCTCTGTAGTTGATTTGTTGATTGCTTTTGTTTGAGACCCACAATCTGTCTGTCAGTGGAGTTGACAAAAATACATCTGTATTTTGAGAATAACCTTGAAATTAACTTCCTATTAATGAAACAAACATCATATAATCATTCTGTCTGTAATCATCTTAAAATTCATAAAATGACAGTGAACATTTTTGGGTGCATTGTTAAAGCACGGTAGTCGTCTGCGCATGTTCAACATTTGTGTTGATAAACATTGATTTTCCCACAATCCAATGCACTCTTCAAATAGAAATCACAAGTATGAGGTTTGACCTGGGCGCAACTTGCACTGATTACCGCCTGTGACTCTTTCGATACCTTCCAATCACATGAAAATTGCCTAATTAAAGCTTGGAAACGTGTCAGTTTATACTTGTTGATCTGCGTAACAGTCAAAGGAGCCATCTTTGTTCATATGAGACCCATGTAGCAGGACGACTACCGTGCTTTAATAGGTTATTATGCAAACTTAGGAATTAACCATTAGAAACTTGGGGGGGGGGTTGGTATGGGGGTCAGCAAAATAAATGAAAGAAATCTAAGAGATAAAAGAAAGAGCTTTAGAATTATTTTAAAAAACAACCAAGATCAAATGTATAATAATACATGTATAAAAATAATAATAATGAATTTATTGCATCCTTAGAAATAATTTCCTTATGTATATGAAAAGTCAAAGCACAATTTTATGACAAATTCTAAAATAAAAAAAACGCATTCACTGTTTTGGAAAACAGATTGACAGAGCACTTTATTTTCTTATCCTCATATATTAGTTATTCTTCATCCTGTTCCCCATTACAAGGTCGAACACTCACTTTCTGGTATTTCCTTTGTGTGGCATGGCAAGTTATGAACATCTTTGCCCAATGAGTCACCATTGCGAATTTGAAGGGTGACCCCTTGCCTGCCCAATTTTTTATTGTTTTTTTTCAATATTTTAATGCATACATTTTATTTCTTGTATTGCTGCCTTGTTTTAATAAATTATCTTTTATACATGTTTATCTGGTGTGTAAGTGTCTTCATATAAGGTGAACTAGTATTCTTTTGTTTTTAATACTGCTTTTGTTTTTACTCTTATTACAGCCAGAGGGTGTAGTAAAACTCATTCAGCGTGTACTCTTGGTGATTGGCGTGATCCACTGGATCCTGATGCGGAAACACAGACAATATATTCACAGTTGTTACTAGGAAGGGACATGTTAAGGTGTGTATCACTACCGATTGATTTTGACTCTAGGGGGCGCTTCAAATCTAGAGGGTGTTACAGGAGAAGGGTTAAAGCGCGTTGGGCGTCACGCAGCACATGTTCGAATTTCATGTAAATAAACAATGTATTTTACACGCGTTGTATACGTCGCTATGAGTCCCATATCGAACAGGACGCGGCACGACGTCTGCCGCCATTTAAGAATTTGTCATTATGACATTATGACATTATATTGGTTGAGGGCGCTTCAAATGCTACAGGATGCTACAGAGGGGAGAGTTAAAAACTTGTCATTGGGGAATACCAGGAATTACACTAAGCAGCCCTGTGGCACTTGTTTTCTTTAAAAAATAATATTTTGCATTTGATTATATATTCAATATTTATTTTTATTTGTTTCAGAACTAAATATTTGGAATCATCAGATCTTGGTAATGCAGCCGCAGATGCCATTAGTCAAACAGTGAATGGGGATGACATAGTACCGGAAGATGACAGCTCAAGTAAGAATGAACTTACAGCAGGCATCAAAATAAACTGATCATGAAAACTGTCTCTATAAATTTCTTTTGGAAGATTGCAATATTGCTAAGAACATTTCAATATCCCGTTGAACATTGTAATATTGCTTAGAACATTGCTACATCCTTAGAACATTGCTACATCCTTAGAACATTGCTACATCCTTAGAACATTGCTACATCCTTAGAACATTGCTACATCCTTAGAACATTGCGATACCCCTTGGAACATTGTGATACCCCTTAGAACATTGCAATATCCTTGGAACATTGCGATACCCCTTAGAACATTGCAATATCCTTGGAACATTGCTATACCCCATAGAGCATTGCAATATCCTTGGAACATTGCGATACCCCTTGGAACATTGCGATACCCCTTAGAACATTGGAATATCCTTGGAACATTGCGATACCCCTTAGAACATTGCAATATCCTTTAGAACAATTGCAATAGCCTTGGAACATTGCGATACCCCTTAGAACATGCAATATCCTTGGAACATTGCGATACCCCTTGAAACATTGTAATATCCTTTAGAACATTGCGATACCCCTTAGAACATTGTGATACCCCTTAGAACATTGCGATACCCCTTAGAACATTGCAATATCCTTAGAACATTGCGATATCCTTGGGACATTGCGATACCCCTTAGAACATTGCAATATCCTTGGAACATTGCAATATCCTTGGGAGATTGCATTCAAAAGTACCACATTGACTATATTCATAGGGGGACAGGTTTGAAATTGAAATTAAAGTGTATGTCTGTGCTGTGATTAATTCATTGTGTTCCAATGGAGAATGCTCCTATGATTCAAATTGATATTTCATTCAATTAATTTACTAAAATTTTCACAGAGAAACATCACCCATAAAATCAATTGTTCACAAGTACCATCTGCAACATAATTCAGAATTGTGCAAACAATCACCACTAAGACTGTACTGTTCTAAAGAATATTGCAATATTCCAAGAAAAATTGGAGGAGAGATAGTAGTATTCATTATCACTTTATTCGGTTGCCCATGGTAACATTTGTTTCACTCAACAACAAGTTATCGTGATTTGATGATTCAAAGGCATTCATCTCAGTATTCCATGCTTATCACATATGGCAAGGCTTCTATAGGTTGACTATGTTTATTTCTTCACTCCCTCTACAGGTGGTTTAAAGAAAAGCCAGTCTTTCCATGATTCACGTATGGCAGCTGCAGCAACATTACTTGATGTCATCAGTGATTTAGAAAGAGCACATCAAGCATTTGAAAGAAGAGAAAAAGAAAAGGAAAAAGAATCTTTTGCCGACAGCTGATGAGAACATTTTACAAAGAAATAAGTGCAATCTTACTTTGATAAGTTAAAATTTTCAATTGCTGTAAATAAAAATGATTTTTTCCATTTTGCCAAAATTGGTGAGGAAATCTTAAATGATGTACTATATATCAAGATAAAAAAAGTCTTATTACTCCCATATATGGGCAATATATCACCTCCACCACCATATATGGGCAGTTCATTTGCTTATTGTGAGAACATGTTTGCATGGAATGCTATATATGGGTCGAACGTTTGCATATTCATCAACTGTCATCTATCATTGACCAATGATGATGGAGACAGTAATTAGATGCAAATATTATACAGCTGCTCATTTTCTCTGCATGATGTATTTTGATTTACAAATTTTTAACATCTGCAAATTTTCATTACATTCTATCTTCCTTTTTACTATAAATTGTGTTTTTTTTATTCGTATGGCGTATTATTCAGTGTTTTGGGTGAAATAGAGAATGGTTTTCATTTAGATACAGAATCTGCAATTGCAATTTTTATATAGACACTGTAGTTTGGATTATAAAATGAAATTTGTATTTTTAAAATTATGAATCCAAGCAAAAATGATGGTGGTGAGGAAAATATAATATATAATAATTCGGTTTTGTTTTTTTGTTC